CGGCTTCATTTACAACAACACTTCAGGTTGGCAGATCAAGTTCCCTGCTCGCGAATGGGGGAGTGTAGTAAACACACTGTTAGTGGTCACATGCACACACACACTTACTCACTATGCTAAGTGTTGGCTGGAGGAAGATGGATTGCACTAGGATAAGGAAAGTGGCAAAGTAGACACTGAGAGCTGGCATTGTGTGACACAAGTGACATCTATCATGGCTGACTTTGTTCCTTGGACAGGGTTTTCTGCAAAGGAAGCATCAACAAATGAATGTCATTTTATATTTAAATATATCTTATCTTGCCTCAAAACCGACAAGTACGGTAGTCTTTGTCAGGTTTTTATTTGTGTGGTCTGTTTGTCCTTTATTTGATTGTTTAGAAACCTCCTTTAACTTGCGAAAAAGGTCCCAAGTCTGTAATTGAAGCGGGCATGTTTCAGTAATGTCATATACAGATTCTGCAGCTACGCAAGCAGCTATGTGATGCTGTACTAGGGTACGGCAGAGCTTTGAGGTAAATACTAACTTTATCTAACTGTGTGGTCAGCCCCAGCAGATCACACCATACAAGATGGCTGATGCCTCCACAGAGTCAGAGGTCTGCAGGTGGGCCCCCTGCACTCCAAAAGACCCCAGTCTCCTCAGCACTCTGAGTTACACTCTGCTCTGTCCCTTCTTATAGAGACCAGTGCGGTTATCTGAGCTGTCCAGTATATTGCTCAGATGAACACCAAGGTACTTGTAAGATCAGAATCTCGACGTCCGCTCCCTGGATGTTCCATTGTGTGGGGGTGTGTGTTTGCGCCGTCTGAATTCCACCACCAGTCCTTCCTTGGTCTTACTTGCGTTGAGCTGGAGGTGATTCCTCTGGCACTAGAGGGTGAAGTCCTGCGTCAGTTCTCTGTACGTCGTCCCCCTTAGGCCGACGATGGCAGAGTCGTCAGAAAACTTCTGAAGGTGGCAGGTCGCAGTGTTGTGGGTGAAGTCTGCAGTGTAGAGGGTGAAGAGAAGCGATCCCAGCACCGTTCCCTGGGGAGTCCCTGTACTGCAGATGATCCTGTCTGATTGACACTCCCGGGCCTTAACGTACTTAGGTCATACCAAGTCTCTGTGAAAACAGTAACCGTTAACCACAACGCCTTCTAATATCCCTTTTTAATTACATTCTGCTCCTGAGTGTATCTATCTTTTTATTTACGGAATGGACAATTGCTAGGATTATAAACTGCGTTATAAAATGATGTGAAGCCCCAGGTTACACTTTTTGTTAAAGGGCTGTCAAGGAATAGAGTTGCATGTATCCTGTATTCATACCAGCTAGTTGAGTTATCTGGAGTAAATGTAAACATATTCACTGATACTGTCAGAGTGGCTTGTCATTTGATCCTGTAGGCTGTGTGCAGATGGGTTTTCCACAGACTTCATCATCTTAGTGCTGCCAGCAAAGCAGAGGTGTTAGGTTCTCGCTCGGATAGGACAGGATTACCACCTGATCTCTCAATAGGAGCTTATAGTCTAACAGGGTAACATTGCTATGCTAGTAAACCAACAGCTCGGATCAATGCTGTTTGGTTTCTCCCTACATCGCTCTCCTGCATACCTGAGCTAACTCAGAGGCAGGTTTCCCAGTAACTGTCCATAAAGAGACATAAGGCTGCTGGTAATTAGGGTAATGGCCCCAGGTATATGGATACGGGGGCTTCCTTCTCTGCCTGGCTTTGTTTGCTCCTCTTGTTTTTCATCAGTGTTTAAATGTGTTGACCTCTCTCCCCAGGTCTCAGCTCAGGAGATTACTTTCACTGGGCTGCTTAAGCACCATCATATTTTCCACCCCTGTCCACTACTAGGTGATGGTAGTACGAATTGACACTGACAGTGTGAATATTTATTATAAATATTCTATAACATTACGGTTACAGATGACATCTGTTAATGATTAGGTTTTTGGTTTCAGATATTAACATTTAGTAAATTGGAACAGCAGTAAAGAAAGAATATATATAAAACAAAGTCGTGGTAAAACAATTGGAAATCCTTAAAAATGACATGAGCTCGAGCAATAGATGAGACACTGGGATGAATATTTGTAACACAGCTTAACATTTTGACACTAAATTGCTAATGACTTGTTGCTGCTTTGTCCACCTCCAATCAACTTTCATTTGTCAAACTCAATGAATTGTCTCCACCAACCTATGAGAAAAATCTTTGTATTAGCGGCTAAATGCTCTCAACACACGTTTCACCACCTAGTCTCTTACAGTGTCTGTCTTCTGTGCTGCTGTGTCTGAAAGTGTTTACACTTAAAACAGCTGCGGCTGGAAACCAGATTGTTAAGAGCCTGAACACTATACCAAATGTTGCCATAAAACCAAAACAATGAGTTAAAAAAGGATTCAAAGTCTTCTTTGAAGACTTGTCACAACATCAATGCTGGTGTTGTTTTCCCCTTGTGAGTATGTGTGTGTCGTCATGGCTAAAAGTGATCCTGTAGACACCTAGCATGGAGGTACCAACAGGTTCTGAGTATGTGTCAAGTGTTTATATTGCTGTCTGTCTAAGGATAGATTTTGTCACTACAATATAGCGTCACAAACATGAAAGGTACAGTCACGTAACCCAACAGGTGTCTGGTTGGGATCAAATTGAAGGTGGTGTTAAAAAAAATTGGTTGTGGCTGGAGTAAGTAAGTAAGCAATTAACAACAAAGGGTCCATTGCCTCTGGCCTGATTTGACATCACTACACTTTTATGGAGGCAAAGTATAGATTATATAGATATGAAGCCAGTCTTCAGGGATGATATCATAATATTTTAAGGACCACAGAGGACAATATTACTATGTCCATAACTGCAATTTGTAAATCAATAATACATAGCTTCAGAAGCTACGAGAGGCTGGATTGTTTTTATGAGGTGCACTTTGACACAGCCGCCCAAAGATAGCTGTGAGCAAAGAAAATGATGCAAAACCATCTTGCGTTTGAGGATAGTGTAAACATTAATATAATACTCCTGCCTTCTCAGCTGCGAACTTACAATATTAAATGAAATATTTCAGATAGTACAAGTTCTTGGTAGACAGCGCTGAGAAATGTACGGTGTGTTCACAACCCAACGAAACACTAACATCTGTTTCTCCCAGCCTACCAGACTGTGTGCACATTTAGTTCACTATGAGGGTCGCACTAACAAAATAGTTAATTTGTCTCTCAGCTCAGCACTGATGGGTTCTGGAAGTCGGTGGCCAAGAGCGTTCCAAGGGAGGCCAGCGACATGCGCATCCTGAACCCCTACTTCATCCAGGAGGCCTCCTTCAAGCTGATTGGCTTACCTCACAACCACGGACAGATGGGCCGAGGGGTGAGAGACCTGTTGTTGTCCTTGAAGTCCCTTTTTTTGTATGTAGAGAGGCAACAGTGGGCTGTTAATGGTCAGCACTGGAGCTCCACTGTCTGTTTGCATTATGAAAGCCTCCGTGAACACACAGCAGATGCTGCAGGGAGCCAAGCACCTACAGAGCCTGAAAACAAAGTGTTACCATTAGGCTGTTATAAATAGACCCATTCTTCAGATTTCACATCTGTAATATATCAACACAACAAGCATACAGTTTAAATAACATGTTCACTGCATGCTGAATATGTTCTGGTTCTCGTACACACTCTTGATTTATGTCTGTTTCAGAATATACCAACCCTGGGGACAGTTGCCATAACGATGGCCCTTCACAACTGTGATGAGGTAGCCGTGGCTGGATTTGGCTACAACATGAGCACCCCCCACGCCCCTCTGCATTACTATGAGAAGATCAGGATGTCAGCTATCAAAGAGGTAACTTCAGAACTGATTTGGTTTGATACTACATGTATGCAAGTTCTAAAACTGATGCTGGACAGGGCAGAGCTTTCATTAAGCTACTTTTTTCTAGACATGTACCCCACATTCATTCTTCATGTTAAAGGTGGGGTAGGTAAGTTTGAGAAACCGGCTCGAGATACAGTTTTTGTTATATTCCATGGAATGCTCTTAACATCCCGATAGCAATGAACATCTTAAGTGCTTTGACAAAAAATCCATAGCAAAATGTCATCTGTGGAAGCCGTAGTACTGTAAAAAGCACGACCAATCATTTTATCCGGCCCGGCTAAAATAACTGGATGGCCTACCTGCCTGTCAGCCTTCCATCTGTGCACAAACTTATCTTGTGCCCTCATTGGTCATGTGCGCGTTCGTGTGTGTTGGAGGAGGGGCTCTGTAAGGAAGTGGCAGATTTGTTCCGGCTGTGTATTTTCAAATTCTAGCGCACTCAAGCTGGTTTCTCCAAAATTACCCACCCCACCTTTAAGATACACTTTACATTTCTTAAATATCGTTATTGTTTTTGCTATGGGTTTTGTCTTTTGTTCTCATTTGGTCATAAAATGTGAAAACAATTAAAATAATTCAGCAGTGGTGCCCCCCCCTACATTATGTATATCTCCAGTAGAAATACATTTTTAGCACCAACTGACAACATCAATGCTGTTATTTGATTGATGCATCTGTGGATGGGTGCTAAAATAGTTTATCTAACTTTAATTCCGACAGGGACAAAGGAGGTGAAAATGTTCACAGATGCTCCTTTCTATAAATGTAAAAGTAGTAAGAGTTGCAGTAGACCTGCAGGTTTCTGGGAGGTTGTTCCAGATATTTGGAGCATAATAACTGAACGCTGCTTCTCCATGTTTAGTTCTGACTCTGGGGACAGAAAGCTGAGATCTGGATGGTTGATAATTTAGCAGGAGGTCAGAAACGTATTTTGGGCCTAAACCATTCAATGCTTCAATGCCATTCAAGTATTTTGAAATCTATTCTTTGACACACAGGAAGCCAGTGTAAAGACTTCAGAACAGGAGTGATGTGATCCACTTTCTTAGTGTTAGTGAAGACTCGAGCAGCGGTGTTCTGAATCAGCTGCAGCTTTCTAATAGATTTTTTAGTGAGACCTGTGAAGACACCATTGCAGTAGTCCAGTCTACTGAAGATAAAAGCATGGACAACTTTTTCCAAATCCTGCTGTGACATTAGTCTTTTAATCCTAGATATATTCTTTAGGTGATAGTAAGCTGATTTAGTAACTGTTTTAATGTGACTGTTGAAACTCAGGTCAGAGTCCATGACTACACCTAGATTTCTGGCTTAATCTGTTGTTTTGAACATTGCAGACTGAAGCTCAGCGCTAACTTTTATAGGTTCTGCCAACACATTGTACTTGATATGCTAAATTGCAGGACATCTCTAAGCAGTTGACCAATCACAACAGAGCCGGCCAGCTAACCAATCAGAGCAGACTGGGCACTGTTTCAGACAGAGGGTGAAAAGAGGTGGCAGCACAGGCAAAAAATAAAGAGCTTTTTGAACATTAAAGCACGGAGACATGACACAGTAGAGACACTACATACAAATATATGATCCTGAAAATAGGGTTAATGGGGCCCCTTTAACTGATGTAAAGGTAAAGAAAGAGCAAATCATTACTACAGTAGTTGCTACACTGAAAAAATAAAAAAACATTGACTTAAATTAAATGCGTTTTGTCAACAGACTTCACTTTACTGTATTATGTTTGTTGAAAGCTATAATACAAGTATACATAAAAAATATTAGGTTCAACTTAGTGTTATTGCTTTCAACTAACATAATATTGTTAAAAAGTCAATGTTTTAGTTTTTTCAGTGTAGCTTACACCATGTGTATTTTTGAAAAAGGGCAAAAAATAGTTTGATGTTCTCCAGTCATTAGTGCAGGAGCATCATTATACAAAAGATTATGCTTTTGCTCTGACGCCCACTCACAGGCTAAGAAGCTGTCTCCACAGAAAGTTGTCTGAAATATATTTTATTCCCTTTTGAATATATAGTTTATATGTTTAAATGTGTGAGAAGCGAGGAGAATTCATATTTCTGGTTCACTGAAGTTATTTAGGAGAGAAACCGTGTTTGTTTTTTTCAACATTTTTGACACATTAGTAACCCAAACTAGTTTACAGTTCAGGTTCCATATTTCCTGCTCATTATCCCCCTCTTAATCCACCATGCTCCCACACAATACTCACAACACTCATCAAATGTTAGCAACCGATCGACCGACATCGTATTTGTTAGTCTTCCACGTTTATGCTGCACTGGAACAGTTTACTGTGACCTTTCTCTCATTTATATGCCTCTCAGGAGGGATTTACCCAGCATGCTGCTTAGTGGCCTGGGATGTGTATGAAATCTCAAGTATAGGAACGTTGCTGGGTGTAGTCACGGCGCACTGAATGCATACAGGGCCTAAACCGCCATTCAGTCCACTTCACAGTGTCCAGCCTGCTCATAAATCACTCTCAGCCCAGGTTACTGAGACAGACATGCAATCCCTTCATCCTATTTTCACCGCCTAACACAGACTTCCAAGGCACAC